AAGCATCTCCCATCGCCTATTAAGCCCTCATTTTTAATTTTTTTCTCGAAGTTTGAGAACTAATTAAAATTCGATTATTTTCTAGATTTTGCGAAAAGGCGCTTTCGCTAGCTCCTAAATTCTATTTAAAAGGCGTCCAAATCCGTTACAGATCGGAGAATCGAAACCCATGTTTCAGACGTTTACCGTAAATAAATTCCCCTGTATTAGTGCTGCATCTATGAAATTTTCCACAAAGATTCCGGTGCATTTAGCCTAAAATCATAGCATAGTGGAATCATACCTCAATCGACCTAGTACGCAACCACTTCACACGATTCCTAAGAGCCGGACATCCCATTATTAGAAGCAGCATCGAACAGGACGTTTCCTATACAGCAGTGAAGGACGATTGACGAACGTTTACGAAATCGTCTGCAATCATTTCAAAAAAGGATCCAACAAAGCCTTTACTTCCTCAATTTTCTTATTTACTTATTCTATATCTGGTTATACCATACTTCCACCCACCGCATCACTATGATGACCGAATGGTATTAAACTAAATCAATTGGAGCAAGATTGTGACTGTGACCGAACCACACGACTAACGGACACTGGCCCGGAATAATTTCCACTGCTGGATTCCGGAATAGCATTTGCCAGTGAGGGCCGAAAGCCGAACTAACCACAACGAGAAAAGTGAAGACAAATCTTTATCTGAGAAAGGAGCGTCCAGACAACCAACTTCTGCAGAGAGTATCGCGCCCCTCCATCCCCCCCAGTTATCACAATACACCCACATTCCGGAAAAAGTGAGTATTGTTAGTGCTCGCTGAAAGTTCAAAATCTCAACCAAAACTACCACGTGCTTGGTTACTTAGTCGTCCGCTCCAAAATATTTATTTAGAATGCCGAGAGAACTATAAATTACCTACTAGCCAAACAGAACCGCCGCTCCGCGCCCCGTAGAACGCGCAACGCGGGCCCTATTGCCAGTGGCCCAGCGATCCCACGGACGCATGGCGACGGCATGTCCGCTTTATTTAGTTCTGACGGTACGTAAACAATATCATCAAATTACAAACATATGCACACGATGCGCATCAGCATGTCGCGCGTTAAATTCGGGAGAACATACGCGCACTGACCAAATTGTTAACACCACAGCAATTATTTCACACAAAAAATAACATAGATCTCCATGAAAAGTGTAACAGAGTCATAGGGCTGCCTCCAACTCTCTCAAAAACGAAATTCCGGTCGGCGCGGTCACCGTGAGTGTGATTGCCGCGTACCAGGCGCAATGTGCCAGATTTGCCTTTGGGTGTAAATTTGAGTGTCGTGGAAATCGCAAGCGTCGACGAGCTGCGGTTGATACAGCTCAGTAAATTCTAAAGCAACCCACGTCTTACCAAAAAGATAGCTTCACTGTGCAGTGTGTATATGTCCTACGGTGAGAGTAACAAGGACAGGAATAAAGTCTTTCTATTCTTCTAACAAAATTATCCGCATCTCTCACCCAAATCTGAGGATAAGCGCCGAGCCGCTAAAACTACAGAGTGCCGAAAATTTCAAGCGTGCCCCAAATTTATTAAATTTTATGTGATAGTGTGAAGGATGTAGAGAATGTGCAATATGAGTTCGTAGAAATCTTCTGATTTTCGAAAATCGTAAAAATTTAATATTTTCAGCGTCTTCCTACAACTAAAATATGGAATATCGAGACCTTTCTTAGTGAACTGTGATCTTTAAAGACACATTTTGAAATATTGTAATATTTTTCGAAAATTTGAGTTGTTTTCGCGCATTTTTGCCTAAAATATAGGCAATTTTTAATTTAGTAGTTGTAACATCTACCTTGTGATGGCTCTGCATTTCAAGAATACAAATTCGTTCTTATTGATTTCCGAAAAAAAATGTTGGCACATTCATCCCTTGGTTTGCATTGGCGCCCGTTACAAAATGCGAAAAACAATAGTAAATAGAGTAGTCTATTCAGATACTAAAATTAGATTAATACCGGAAGAAGGTATAGATAATTTTCTTAATTTATTCGTAGACCGTGTTGAACTTAATACTGTAACTGCTAAAGGTGTAATTTATTCTGTAATTGAATGACTTCAATCTCACGGAATGACATTCATTTTTGGAAAAGAATCTCATAAGATTAACATGTGATAGTGTAGCAGTAATCATTGATAAAAAGAATGGCGCTGGGTCATTGTTTAAAGAGAGAACCCTCCCTCATATTATTTGGTATTTTTCGAATTAAAGACTCGAACCCTGTTTCCGATGCAGTGAAATCTTTCTGGAATTAAAAGGTTTTAAACTTTCATAGATAAATTGTTTCATACCATTCTTCGCCCCAAAACAGCAGAGTTAAACATATGTACACATTTGTTGGAAACAGAATTATTAAAAATTGGAAGGATATTGAGTGTGTGATGGGTTGCTTTCAATTTCAGATCTGAGTTAGCCGTGTGGAAAAATTATCCAGAATAAAAGTGCCTTTTAAAGAAGCGAAAATAAATCCAACAACAGACAATAATGGAAAGAGCATTTTTAGCTGTCTTCTGAATAAAATTACTGGTATTAACTTTATATTGAATCTTGGATTAAAGTGTGATGCACTACAGCAAGCCTGCACACCATTTTGCACTGACCTCGGGAGCCACGCGCGAGACACTCGCGTGCTCATACGGAAGACAGGGGATGACACTCATTTTATTTGGAGGGGCGGGCACCAGCATTGAGAATTAGCATTTTTAACCGTAGCACGTAAATTGAAAGAGCAATCTGCGAGATGACGGACTGTCTCGTACTGCCCAAGTAATATTGTCTTTTGAATTATATTGCAAATATAATTCAATTCGATGTCGATAGAATACGAAATGTGACAATATGTTTGAAATATGAACCTAAAACGAATTAGACGTACATATATTTTGATTTGGACACCAAGTATTATTCTCGTAATTGCTTGCATGGCAGATAATGTAATTCGCTTTGCTACGATGTATTCACAAATTCATTGTGATGCTAAAGACAAAATTACAATATTGAATCGTTTTTGTTGGAAGAGGACCGTAATAAACTATTTTTAATTAACTGTGTTTAATTGAATAAGAGGGATCGATCAAAGCTAAACAAATTTATTCTTAAAAAATTATGATTAATTTCTTCGCTAATTTATGACAAGACTACATTAGATATTTCTGATATCGAATCAGTCAACATTATTTATTCATAATTGTTCACGACATAGTACAAGAAAAAAATTGGTCCCTTTGTATTCTATTTAACACAACCCATAATAATCTAATGATTGCATTGCAACATATCATCAAAGAAGTTAGCTCGTTGTTATCACGTTTTGCTTTCGCTATCATTTGGAGATTATAACATTTGAGGGGGAAAATAAAATATTAAATTATATTTTTTGTTAGAATTGAATAGTAATTTTTTAGAAAGGGTCACTACTTTAAAATAGTCACAAAGAGCGTAAACAAAAAAAAAAAATCCGAAAAGGAAAATATGTCGATTCATAACAGTGCACAGAAAGAACATGAATAGTGAAATACTGTATGATCCTTTTTGCTAGAAATACTACACATTACCCTAAATGGGAAAATAATTTCGCAGCATGGATCATTGCATTAGACGCCCAACGCCCAACATCGCAATCTACGCGTCGCGTAGTCCTCTCTGTGCAACGGCAGGCTGCTTCCCTCCCCGCAAAGCTAGAGTGCGACTTTTATAATTGTGCGTCTCAAGGCTCTGCATGTCGCGTCTTACTTACTTACGCGTACTACTTTCGCTGCACTTTCGGGCAGGCACATGGCTCGTGAGAGCCGAATGCCCTCAGAAGCAAGCGTTGTGCTGGCCTGTATTACAGAAATAATCCGAATCGAGCGAATATTTACAACATCGAAATATGGACCTAAACATTTCCAATGAAAAATTGAAAATGATAGTATCACTTTTTGAGAGTAGAAAATCATTTCTCGGTAGTTATTATTCTGTGGACAAAAAAGCAGCGGAAATTTGTTTAATACCTCTTCACAAAAATGAAGGACGTATCAACAAAGATCCTGTGAACGATATCAATTTTATGAAGACTTAAAACAAGACTGCTTGGAGAACATAATCAAGAACGTGTCACTTTACGGATAATTTTTAATGTACGAATTTACGGATTTTACTGATCTAATAATTACTCGTAGCAAAAGTGATAGAAATGACACTGGCCCGAAAAATGTCCAATTTAATTATGGGAAGATGAAATGAAAAAGCTTCCTACCACATTTATTATTATTAATAAATGAGAGACAATTAATGACAGGCTTTTGAGAATATCTATACTTGAAGACATTTCCGAATAGCATACTTGAATTTCAAAACGCAATAAATCTGTCCAGCTATTTCGTCCAGCGAATGTGAGAGAGGATTCTCACAAATAAATTTAATTGTAACCACACTGAAAACATCTTTAAGAATGGAAACCGTATCCATTTTATTATTTTTTTAAATTGATGGCATTCTTCTTTTTCTATTCGATCCATTACACATAAGTACGAGTAGATTCCTGGCAAAAGTCTATACGACATTCGGTTTTAGTAAGGTAGGTAATAGTAAGGAAGTAAAAGTAAGGAAATATGTAACACAACGAAAAGTTGTTGGAATTGGAGAATTTTTTCATGAAATGCTCA